TCAACTGCCGATAGTCTATGCACATCCTCACCGACCCATCCTCTTCTTCACAAATTGCGCACCCCAGGGCAAGACAATAGGTCTAATGAATCCCTTGTCAAGCAAATCATGCAACTGCTCCTTCATTTCTTTCAACTCCAGTGGGGCCATACATTATGGTGGAATAAAATGGGCTGAGTGACCGGAGCCTAATCAATACAGAAGTCAATATCTCTGTTGGGTGGCATCCCCGGCAGATATGCAGGAAACACCTCTGGAAACTCACGCACAACAGGTACTGAATCCATGGAAGGAACCTCCGCACTCGAATCACGAACATAGACCAAATATGCTAGACATCCCTTCTCGACCATACGTCGAGCCTTCAGATAGGAAATAACCATGCTGGCATGAGAACTCTGTTGTGGCATGCCGCCGCCCAGCAATCTCGGACAGAACCTCCTGATGTGACCAGTACCTTCACACTCAAAACACCAACCTGTTGATGTGGCTATTGAATCTGACCCGAACGGGCCAGATAACCACGGTGATAGCTCTGAATCAGAGGCATACTGATAAGAGCTAATGGTACACTATAGGTTGGCTGCCTAGAATGAGGTACATAAGGACCATGACTCCCTGAAGCACTGTAAGATGCCTGAAGCGGTGACTGAAATGGCCTGGGAGGATGGCCCCTACCAAAAGTACCTCTGCCTCCAAATGAGGCACCACTGAAACTACCGGAATGACGAGGCCTCTTATCAAACACCGGCCCCCTCTCCTGAGCACGAACCATCTCAATCCGTCTGGCAATATCTACGGCCCTCTGAAAAGTAATATCATCTCCAGTCTCCATGGCCATATGTAGCCTGATAGTGAAAGTGATCTCGTCAATGAATCTCCTCACTCTCTCCCTCTCAACAGAAAGCAAGATAATGCCATGGTAATTTAGGTCCACAAATCGAGTCTCGTACTTGGTAACAGTCATACTACCCTGCTGAAGACACTCAAACTGTTTGCGGTAATCCTCTCCCAGAGTGACAGGGATGAACTTCTCTAGAAATAGATGTGAAAACTGGTCCCAGGTAAGTGCAGAAGAACTAGCTGGTCTAGTCAACATATAATCTCTCCACCATCTCTTGGCAGAACCAATCATCCAAAACACTGCAAAATCGACCCCATTGGTCTCAATTATACCCATGTTCCATAGCACCTCGTGGCAGCAGTCTAGATAATCTTGTGGATCCTCAGAAGTTGCACCACTGAAATGAACAGGAAAGAGCTTGGTAAACTTATCCAACCTCAACAAATCCTCAGAAGACATAGCGGGCCTATCACCGGCCTGTGCCGCAACAACCGGTTGAACCATCCCAACTGGCGGGGCTGTTAGAGTCTGATACTGGGGAGCCGTCTGCTCTGGGGTGTGAGTATCAGGAGTGTATGCTCCTCCCCCAGTCCTAGAGATGGCTAGTGCTATCGGGAATGTACCGGTCTGGGCCACACACTCCATAAGGCCCACCAAACGGACTAGAGTGAATAGATGACAAGTAGGTACAAGTAAGACAAATAAACGGGAATATGACAAGTAAACGGGAAAGCAAACCAAATATACGACAATTAAAGTTTACAAGTAAGACAAGTAACAATTAATCATGGAATCATGGAAGAAACGAGCGCCTCAATAAAAGAGTGAATAGATGACAAGTAGCAAGTTACGGCATAGAAAGCAATTAAGACATGTAACAGTTAAGACATGGAATAAGATAATTAATGAAATATGGGAAAGCATGAAAATAACTATTTTGACGGCATATATACACTCGTCACCTTGCATATACGCCACTACACATGTAATTCACATAGCACATAGCTCAAGGGTTCCTAATTCTCTCAAACCAAGGTTAGACCCAACACTTACCTCACACTACAAGCAAATCAAAGCTCAACCGGGGCCTTTCCTCTAAAATCTGCCTCCACATCAATCGAATCTAAACCAAAATTGACTCAATAACATCAAACAATGCTAGGGAAATTAATTATAATACATAAAGTTAAGATCTTTACACTTTTTCAAAAAGTCAACAAAAGTCAACCTGGGCCTGCTTGGTCAAAACTTGAGATTCGGATCGAAACCTAATTACCTATTCACCCACGAGCCCGATTATGGGATTAGTTTCGAAGTCCGACCTCAATTTGATATCTAAATCTCAATTTTACAACCCTCCCCCCCCCCCCCCTCCCAATTCTTCCCAAATCCCTAATTTTCAACCAAGAGCATAGATTAAGGTTAGAAATTAATGGATGTTGATGGAAATGGAAGAAAATGAGTTAAAGTACACTAACCTATGAGATGAAATTTCTCTTCAAAGTCACCTTTAGGTCGAGCTCTAATGAGAATATAGTGAAAAATGGGTGAAATCCCGATTTTTGGAAGTTTAAATGATCGGGCATCAGGTGTTCATCGCGTTCGCGAAGAGCACTGCCCAGTTGGCCTACGTGTTCGCGAAGGCTTCTCCCCCCAGGCGTTCGCATTCGTAAGAGGCTGTCCATGTTAGCGAAGGGCAACCCCCCAAAGCTTCGTGTTCGCATCCCAACCATAGCGTTTGCGATGAAGGAATTCCGCCCTTGTCCCAGTTCCCCTTCGCGATCGCGAAGCACATGACACCAGATATCAGCAGTAGCTCAAAACCAACAATTCTTTCTAAGTTCAAATGGTCTGTATCATATCTGAAACTCACCCGAGCCCCTTGGGATCCAAACCAAACATGCACACAAGTGTAATAACATCATACAAACGCGCTTGCGCGATCAAAATACCAAAATAACACCTAGAACTACGAATCGGACACCAAAACGAATGAAATTTTCAATGAAACTTAAAAACTTTTAATTTTTCAACCAGACGTCTGAATCACGTCAAATCAACTCTATTTTGCACCAAAATTTATAGATACGTCATAAATACTAAAATGAACTTATACCAAGTTACGAAAGAAATCCGAACCTGGTAACAACAAGGTCAACCTACGGTCAAACTTATGAATTCTTTAAACCTTTAAATTGCTAGTTTTTAACAAATTACGTTAAATTAAGTTAGGGACTTCCAAATTCGATTCCAGATATAAGTCCAAGTCCCAAATCACAATACGGACCCACCGGGACCTTCAAAATACTTATCCGGGTTCGTTTACACAGAATGTTGACTGTAGTTAACTCAAATAAATTTTAAGGCAAAATTTCATATTTTTATCAATTTTTCACATAAAAATTTTCTGGAAAAAAAAATGCGGACTGCACACGCAAATCAAGAAAGGCTAAATGAAGTTATTCGAGGTCTTAGAATATATAAATGAAGGATAAAACTATAAATGACCTATCGAGTTATCACACTTAGGGGTACTTATCGGGCGGATAATTACACTTAACGGTTCGACTTAACGGTTATCGAATTATAAATATAGTAATTCGCTAGCCATCCAATAAGACAACGAGAGGATTGGTATCATATTAACAATTATCGGACGGTTATCGGGCGGTCTATCGGCTAAACCAAATAAAAAAAATTGAACAATCATTCAATCAATACCACATAGTTTCAAATCAATACCAAATTTTTAATACCATCTACGATCTAACCAAACGGTGTTTTTAAATTGGAGAGTCTTCAAGACTACTCATACTGTCATACACGTATTAACCAAATTTTTAATACCATCAAAACTACTCATACAAGCATACACGTATTAATCATTGAGATTTCGATTTTTCGACTTCTCAGTTCTCAGTTCTCAGTTCAAGAGAGAGATAAGATTGACGACTTTTTTGTCTCTAGTGGCTGCAGACAATTGAGAATTAGAAAATACAAATTGGGGATTTAGCCATAGGGGTAAAACTGTATATATAAAAATTCTTAACGGGTTAATAGTTTGCCCGATAAGAAAATTGAGTAATCCGTCCCCAAACCATTAAGCCGTTAATTATAAAATATCAATCTGTTCACTATCCATTACCCCGATAATCCGATACCAATAAGCCAATAAGTCATCAGTTCGATTCGATTAACGATTTCGATTCGGTTTTGAACACCCCTAATCACACTTTTCCTTCTTCACAAATCACTAATCACCTTTCACTAGTAAAAGCATTACATTTTATATCATTTACTCCCTTCTTTTACTTTTAGTCGTCCATTTTTTATGTGTACTTCCTTTAAGAAAAAATAAATAAAATATGTATTTTATAGTTTTACTCATAATAATGATAACATTTTAAAAAATCTTGAGAAATAATTTATGGAATGAGTAGTTAATAATAAGGGTAAAATAAAAAAAAATATCTTTTTCTTGATTTGCTAGATGGACAAGTAAAAATAAAAATATATTTTTAATATAGTGGGTAAGTAAAAGTGAAAGACTAGAGTAAGTTTCAATGAAAAAAAAAAAGATAGTATTAAAAAAGTACTCTTTGGTCTAAAATAAGGAAAAAACTAAAACTACAATTTGATTAAACTATGCACCTCACAACTTACAACCAGACCACAGCACTGACAGAAACTGAAAGAGCAGTGATATATTAGTAGTAAATTTTATCGACATAGATTAAAAATAACGACTGACTGTCATTCAGAATGGTTTGACCTTTGAACAATTATGAGACAAAGTACAAAACAACCAAAACAAGTTAGTATTATGTTTTTCATAAATAGGTAAAATAATCACTGAAAACACATTCCTTCCCATGTTTTAATGTCGGTTCCATTCTCAATAACTCCAAAACCTTTACAGTCATTAGCTACAAATCCATAGCTGGTTCAGATCCCATTTCCCAAGGCCTCACGAACTCCCCAATTTAATTTACTTTATTTAATTACTATTCCCCCTTCATTAGTGTCTAATCATTACTATCTTACTCTCTAACCCCACCCCTTACCCCTCAAAAATGAAATAAGAGAAAAGAAACATGCATACAGATAGATATGGGTCCCATTTTTAGTTAATCATGATAACTAACTGATTAACACTACTTCTTATGAAATAGTATAAGCTATTTTGGTCACTTTCATACTAGTTTGTTCTCAAGAACCTAAAAAGAATGTTGTACAACTGAATTAACAGAGAGCAACCAAAGAGAGAAGAAAAATTGTGAAAAGAGCAAACCATGAAAAATCATCTCTTTTTCTTGTTATTTTTCATTGGTTTTTTCTTTGTTTCATCAAATGGGGATGAAATTTCTACATTGTTAGCACTAAAGTCCAGTCTTGTTGATCCAATGGATCACCTCAAAGACTGGAATTTGCCAAACAATGGAAACTCAAGTTCAAGTTCTGTTCATTGTAAATGGACTGGTGTCTTGTGCAACTCCAAAGGTTTTGTAGATAATCTTGATTTGTCAAACAAGAATCTCAGTGGCAGAGTTTCTGATCAAATTCAAGGGCTAAAGAGTTTATCTTCACTAAATCTTTGTTGCAATGATTTCTCCACTGCATTGCCAAAGTCATTGGCCAATCTGACTTCTTTAAAGAGCATTGATGTTAGCCAAAATAACTTTGTTGGCGAGTTCCCATCAGGTCTTGGAATGGCTTCTGGTTTGAAATATCTCAATGCTTCTAGCAATAACTTTGAGGGGTTTCTCCCTGAGGATCTTGGCAATGCTATATTGATCGAAATCATGGATTTTCGAGGGAGTTTTTTCGAAGGTTCAATCCCTGTATCATTCAAGAATCTTCAGAGTTTGAAGTGTCTTGGACTATCAGGGAATAATCTTACCGGAGAGATCCCTCGGGAGCTCGGTGAATTGAAAGCTGTAGAGACTATAATTCTTGGATACAATCAGTTTGAAGGTTCAATTCCAGCTGAGTTTGGTAATCTAAGTAGCCTTCAGTATCTTGACTTGGCTGTTGGCAGTTTAAGCGGTCAAATACCAGCTGAATTAGGCAAGTTGAAGAATCTGACCACTGTGTATTTGTATCAGAACAGTTTTGAAGGGAAGATTCCAGCTGAAGTTGGAAATATTACATCTTTAGTTTACTTGGATCTTTCTGATAACAACATTTCAGGGGAGATTCCGAATGAGTTAGCAGGTTTGAAGAATTTGCAGCTGCTCAATCTCATGTGTAATAACTTAAGTGGTCCTATTCCAACAAAGCTTGGTGAGTTAGAAAATCTTGAGATACTTGAACTATGGCAAAATTCTTTAAATGGTTCTTTGCCTATGAATCTTGGGAAAAAATCTCCCTTGCAATGGTTAGATGTTTCTTCTAATTTCTTGACAGGTGAGATCCCTCTTGGTTTGTGTGATTCTGGCAATCTAACAAAGCTCATTCTCTTTAACAATTCTTTCTCTGGACCAATCCCATTAGGCCTCTCTAATTGTTCTTCACTCGTCCGAGTTAGAATCCAAAATAATCTTCTTTCAGGTGTAATCCCAATTGGATTTGGAACTCTTCCTAAGCTTCAAAGATTGGAATTGGCTAATAACAATCTCACTGGTGAAATTCCTGAGGATTTCACTTTGTCTTCTACACTTTCTTTTATCGATGTCTCCTCGAACCACCTTGAATCATCTTTGCCATCTAGTATTTTGTCTATTCCTAGCCTGCAAACGTTTGCAGTCTCGAATAACAATCTTAAAGGCAACATTCCTGACCAATTCCAAGATTGTCCATCCCTTTCGTCGCTTGATCTTTCGAGCAACCATTTCACGGGGAAAGTTCCTCAAAGTATTGCTTCATGTGAAAGGCTTGTGAATCTTAATCTTAGCAACAATCAATTCAGTGGTGAAATCCCAACTCACATTGCCACATTGCCAACTTTATCTATTCTTGATTTATCGAACAACTCCCTAGTTGGAAAAATACCAATGGACTTTGGTAGCTCCCCAGCTCTAGAAATGCTTAATCTGTCCTACAATAAACTTGAGGGTCCAGTTCCAAGCAATGGGATATTAATGACCATTAATCCCAATGATCTAATAGGCAATGCTGGACTTTGTGGTGGCATCCTTCCACCATGTTCTCAAAATCTCATCACCACTTCAAACGTGAGGAAGACTCGTGTAAATCACATAATCGTGGGATTTATTGTTGGGATCTCGGTTATCATAGCTGTTGGGATCATGGTTCTAGCAGGGAGATCAATGTATAACAGATGGTACTTGTGCAACAGCTTCTTCAAAGATTTTCGGTTCAACAAGAACAATTCAGAATGGCCTTGGAGGCTTGTAGCATTCCAGAGGCTTAACTTCACAAGTATTGATATTCTTGCTTGCCTAAAGGAGTCAAATGTGATAGGCATTGGTGGCAATGGAATTGTCTACAAGGCTGAGATTCAGAGGCCACATTCTGTTGTAGCAGTTAAAAAGTTATGGAGAACAAATGGGGACATTGAAGCAGGAGAAGAACTCTTTGCAGAGGTAGATCTTTTAGGGAAGCTTCGTCACAGGAACATCGTTAGGCTATTAGGCTATCTTCACAATGAGACTGATGTCATGATGTTATCTGAATACATGCCTAATGGAAATCTTGGAGCTGCTTTACATGGGAAACAAGCTGCAAAAATGCTCGTGGATTGGTTGTCGAGATACAACATTGCTCTTGGTGTTGCTCATGGCCTCGCTTACCTTCACCATGATTGCCATCCACCAGTCATACATCGGGATGTCAAGTCAAGCAACATTCTTCTTGATTCAGATTTTGAGGCAAGAATTGCAGATTTTGGCTTGGCAAGAATGATGCTTCATAAGAATGAGACTGTCTCTATGGTAGCAGGATCATATGGCTATATAGCACCAGGTAAATTTTTTTCTTGAACCTTAAATGATTTCATTTCATATCCATATAGTTTAAGAAATTCATTTGTTCTCTCTTTTGTTTTGGCAGAATATGGATACACATTGAAGGTTGACGAGAAAAGCGACATATACAGTTACGGGGTAGTGCTTTTGGAGCTTCTGACTGGGAAAATGCCATTAGACTCTTCTTTCGGCGAGTCCATTGACATTGTAGAATGGGTTAGAAGGAAAGTGAACAACAAGGCATCAGAGGAAACATTAGATCATGATGTAGCTGGACAATGTAAACATATTCAAGAAGAGATGCTTCTTGTCCTAAAGATTGCACTTCTTTGCACAGCAAAGCTTCCTAAAGAAAGGCCATCAATGAGAGACATTATAACTATGCTTGGAGAGGCAAAACCAAGAAGGAAAAGCATTTGCCAAAATTGGGGTTATACTAGTAGTGCTAACAAAGATAAGTTAATCTTTGCACATTCACCAGTTGTAGGCCTTCTATAAGTACCAAAAACCTTTTTTCTTATCTCTTTTCCTCTTCAATATCTAGTATATCTTCATGTTCAAGAGTCAAAATGTAAAGAGTTTCTTTGATTCCTTTTCTTCTTTCCATTTTCTGTAATCGATATAAGAGAAGAGGAAATTGTATGAATCCAACCCAATATTTTCTCTAGCCTAATGATTTCTCATTTGCCAATAACATACCATTCATATAAGATACTGTCTTTTTTTTTTTGGTCTTGATATATGATATTGTCAATTCCTTAAACGAATATGAACGTTGTAGTTAACTACGACCATTAACTGGCTACACCATAATAATTCCATGCAATTATTATGTAGAAACATGCTTCTTTCTATTTTCTCCTAATACATAGAACAAGCATATGGGAATTGATGGTCTTAGTAGAAACTTCAGCACCATTATTCAAGAAAAGAAGTAATACTGAAACTAGTATCTCACCAAATACCAGAAAATTGACTAGTGTCTCTAAACTATAAGTGGGGGTTAGCTATATGAATCATCATCGTCCATATCGCTCCATTTAAGCTCACACATCAGTTTACCAATGTGCCTAAAATTGTAAGTCATTACCAAGTACACAGATGCAAGATGGAATGGATAAAAGCAATGCAGTTTTAGAGACTTTTTAATGTAAGTAACTACGAATGTGAAAAATGGACGACGTATACGAAAATAGGCAGAGAGTTGTTGTTCTACTAGAATTCAAAAGTTTAAAGTAAATTATGCCAGAAACACAGAAGCAAAACATCATATCCAGGAGGAAGTAAAACAAAACAAATACTAAACTATCTTAGCCTTTGGATAAACATTTGAGACTTGAAAATTGTCCCCCATGACAGTCTTGAGTGAGTAAAAACTTGGAACGTATTTAGTCACTGCAATGACACTACAGTAAACATTGACCTTCCTAAACTTAATCTCCTTTGGGCTGTAAGAAACTAGTCGAGTGCCATGTTCGCTTCGCATCAAGATTTCTCCATCTTTCCAAATTATGATTGGTATAAATGTACCCTGACGTATATCAGGCAGAATGCAATCCATCAAAATGCGATCTTTAGTCCATGATTCAGCTATTCCATACTCTTTCATCCACCATATATCGACATGTTGACTATAGCTATTATCGGACAAACACAGACACAGACAATTACCCAACTCGACTAGCCTCAAGCAAGAGGATGGAGCTTCTAGGCCAGGTGGAGGTGGCACAGACTTCACTTCTTCTGTCCCAATATTAAAGGAGTAAATGCAGGCGCTGGCACTTTTTTTGTGATTTTCACTATCCATCCAATGAAGAGAACCATTGACATTAACATTGGTAAGTGATCCCCGTCCATTTCTTATCAACTCCAAGAGTATAAACCTCCAATTCATATAGTTATGGACGATCCCATACTGATCTCACTACTTTATACTGTCCAGAGGCCTCACTAAAGCAAAATCCCCACGCAACATGACATACACTTTTATCGGAGTATTTAAGCTTGAAACACTCGCCAAAACGAGGATTGCAAATGTAAACCAAATGATTTCCACTATACATACCACCATTCAGCAAACAAATGAACCCATTGCACGAACCAATTATTTCCAACTTTGGTTTACTAGCACGATTAATTGTTCTCGATTCTAGTGGAGGGAGGTGAAACNTCACCCAAAAGAGGATTGCAAATGCAAACCAAACGAATTCTACCATAGGTATAACTATTCATCAAACAAATAAACCCATTACACGAACCAATTATTTCCAACTTTGGTTTACTAGCACGATTAATTGTTCTCGATTCTAGTGGAGGGAGGAGAAATTTTGGGCTCAACAACATGGGTCTATTTAACGGGGAAGAATAATAATCATAATCTGCTTTGAGTTCAAGAAGTGAAACGAAAGAGTGATCAACCGAGAGCAAAATGCAGGGAAAATTAAGTGATCTTGACGTGTGATATATGTTAACAAATGAAGGATCAGAAGTTAAAAGATTATACCAGAGTTTGCAAACAATCTTACAGAAGAAAATGGACTTAATTGGCAATCTTGAAAGAATTTCAACCATAATCACCCTTGGTAGGTCCATAATTGTGACTTCATACATTTTTCTAAAAGCTATTATAATTATCACTTCCTTCTCTGGTTTCTTTACATAATATACATTAATACATACATCATCATATATCTATCAGTCAATAGACATTTAGTCACACTTGAATTCTAACATGTCTAACAGCAGCAACATATGATAAGGGATAATATCCCTTAAAGTAAGGGTTTATTAAGGTAACGTATCTTTAATGACATATTTTGATTTGTTTCTTATCTAATCAACAACTAATTCCTCAAACACACGGCTGAGTTTTTGACTAAAAACATCCCTCAACTATGGCTCAAACCTAAGGTACATCCTTATGTTACTAGATTGAACAAAAAATATCCCTTAACTATTTCAGAAGTTTCAACAACCATCCTTGCATTTAGTTTCCGTCAAGAAACTAACAGCATAAACCAACACACGTGACTTCCCCCCTCAATCTCTCAAATGTGTCCCTCGGCCCGATTGTTATACCATGTGCGTCTCAAGGTGACGTAATGAATATGAGACTTGTTAATCATGACTTAAATAATTTTAAAGTCATAATATGGCTATATATGATGTTTGGATAGAAATATGAAGTTTGGGAAAAATCAGATTAAAGTTGCGGAAACCAACTAAAAATTTATCTTGTAACAAAGCGTTTTGAGAAATAAATTTCGTATGATATATGAGGTCTTTTTGGGACATATTATATACCAAATTAAAGATCTTGAAATTTTGTTTCCAACGCTCTTAACCGTTTATTTATACGATACCCGGATAAAAAGTTATAAGCGTTGGAAGAAGGGCCAATCATAGGGTGCCAAGTAGCACCTTTTTGACTTTTAAAAAAAATGGGATATTTATATCCCATCTAGTATCTTTCTCCATTTTTCCAGAGAACACACCCAAATAACACCCCTAACTTTACTCTTAAGTTCTCTGCAAGAGCTTCAAACAAGATTATCATCCCGGGCACGGAATCAAGAAGCGTTAACATTAAAACGATCCATATGACGTAAGTATCGCTATATCGCCTCTCTTTTTCTTTGTAGTTTGAGTTTTGGAAGGTATTTTATAGTTAATAAAATGTGTACTTTCTGTATTTAAGTGTTTAAATATCAAGGAATGTTGATAAATTCATTTTCTAATAGTTAGAACTCATGGGACGGTGATCGAAAGTCATGAGTTCAAGTTATTTGACTTGTAGTGGACTGTTTTGTGGGTTTGTCGTGTTGCCTTTGGGCTGTATATGTTTCTACTATTTAATGAAGTTTTGGAAGATGGATGGTGTGGAGAAACACCACATAATGATGGAATGGTGGGCTGGTTGTTCGTCGTTACATTTTTTTTAGTTGTTTGACACTACTTTGGTTGTCGTTTTATGTATGAAGTGATTAGGGTGTGTGGGTTATTTTGTGGTATATTATGATAGAGATAAGGTTGAAAAATGATGCTTACATGTTGTTATTGTTGTGTTCTTGTTATTGTTGGTATATGGTATTGGAGGAGGGCCTAGTTACAGGGGAGATGCTGCCCAAATTTACGTAAACGAGCTACTAGTTTAAGTTGCGGACTTAGCCTTTACTCAGCACTAATTTTGAATCTCCTTATGATATGGTAGATTGGGTTGGGTTGTTTGAAGAATTTCTTGGAAGGTATTAAGGACTCAACGGAGTTAAGGTATATTAAGGCAATCCCTTCTTTCCTTTTGGCATGATCCGTACGATACAAACGAAACGAGCAAATAAGCAACTTTCACAAATGACTCTATTCATAGAAATACTAGGGATGTCTATATTCTTGATTCCCTATGTGTCTTATTATTCTATTATCTGTTCATGGGTCTCAGAAAAATACGCAAGTTGATAAAGTTTATTTCATGATATTAATCAAAGGCATAGTGATCTTATGACATATTGAGAAATCTTATTAACGTACTTCTTATGAATTTCATTCATGTATATATGTACATTGAACCATGACCATATGGAGTTATATATACGTATATTATATGTATATAGGATATGGAAAAAGGTTATGGTGTTATATACACACCACCACCTGATCAGCTGGTATACATTGATGATTTTACCCACAGTGGTTGAGATGATATGATGGGATGCCCTCAGAGGCTTGATGATGTTATGTATGCATATACCAATGCATGGTATGGCATTTATATGCACATGCATGATATTATAAATTTTCATGATTCACGGAGCTATTCATAATTACATGTTGAGAGTTTTTTACTCCATGTTTCTTTCATGTCTTTTATATACTACTGTCATGCCTTACATACTCGGTACTTTATTTGTACTGACATCCCTTTTGCCTGGGGATGCTGCGTTTCATGCCCGCAGATCCCGATAGACAGGTTGAGAGTTCTCCAAGTAGGCTATCAGCTCAGCGGAAGATGTTGGTGCGCTCTATTTGCTCCGAAGTTGCTTATTTAGTCAGTATGATTCGGACGTGTATTGTTTAGGATGGCGGGGCCCTGTCCCGACCTTTATGGTATTTATCTACTCTTAAAGGCTTGTATACATATGCCATATACGTAAAAGATTGTATGCCCTTGTCGGCCTACATTTAGTGTACGAGTGATCATTTTGGTCTTATAGGCCCAAGTTGGTATTACATGTTTTATTCTAGTTATCATACGACAGCCTTTCCATCTCATTTACCCATGATAGCATGATACAAAAAGATACATTATGTTGATATTCGGTTAAGTAAGGTACCGGGTGCCCGTCGTGGCCCATCAGTTTGGGTCGTGATAGAAGTGGTATCAGAGTAGTTTTATCCTAGGGAGTCTACAAGTTGTGTCTAGTAGAGTCTTATTTATGGGTGTGTTGTGCACCACACTTATAAGCAGGAGGCTACAGGGCATTTAGGACTGTCACTCTTTCTTCTTACTCTAGATCGTGTGGTAGAGCTCAGCTGTAAGAAATTCAAATTCCTAAATTCTATTTTATTCGTTATACAACGATATCTACATCCAAAAAGACAGTTGGTAAGCGATTGAATGTGGCTGTGGAAGAGTTGAGTTAGAGGAACTCGATTTTGCGTCATACTTATGATGAGTAAATGTAAGGCCTTCAGTAGATATGTGTGTACTACGATGTGTGAGCCTCTTGGTAAGGAGCCCTAAGGCATAAATATTTATCTACTCCCTATGTAAAAAAAAACAACGAGAGAATCAGACGGTAGATACAAGTTTCAACAAGTAAAAGAAGCTAGGTGAAGAAGGATACGAGGTATCCAGTTAGTGAAGATTATCTGTATTTACAATTCAGGCAGAGAAATATAAGCATTATGAGTTACTTTCAACAATAACAAAGATATATTCATTTGACAACACCCATTTCAGTTATGCCCCGTGGGAGTTAACAGACATAATTTAAGAGAAGGATGCGATATCAGCATCCAGCTGGGGTTAGAGTAACCCAAAATTGTGGATAGATTGTTATCATTAGCTCACATTTCCGAGGGATATTGCAAACGTGGTAATGGTTCTCCTTGTGAGACACCCAGATGGTGCACTCTAGAATATACAATCAGATATAAATACTAGAATGTTCAGAAATTTCAGAAGATTGGTATTGGAATCCTAGAAGGGATAAATATTTACCTTTGTATGGATCTCGTCCCTAGTAAAGAGAGAGTGTTAGGCGACTCGAAGAGCCAGTGAGTTGAATCAAGGGGGGCTAAAAGTGAAAGAATATTTTGAAGAAGTTTTCATAATAAGGTGATATACAGAAATATTAGCAAGAGAATAAGAAAAAAGTAAATGACGCATTATGAGTAAGATGTGATAAATGGATGATAACGGTAAATCAAAATATGACGGGACTACAAATTCTATAGTTAAGTGAAGGAAAAGACAAGAAGTTACATGCCTTTAGACAATAAAAGAGTATAAGTCATAAAGTCATGTCCCCATTTCGAGAAATGAATTGGTGACTCATACGTGATTACCAGAAGGAAAAGTTAGACCCCCGGAGTAATAGAAATTAGTATAGGCTAGTGAATAAGATAAACTAAACATGAAATTCGGGACCGAAGGATTTGATAATAGTTGACATCATGAGAATTTCAGAGATCGCGTTCCGGGCGATAATTGAATGGACAACAGAAAAATAACTTTTAAAGGTCATTAAGGAAGACGTTTCCCTAAAACAAGCGATGTGAGCAGAGTTAAGCTTAAGGGACTAAGTGTGCCAGTTACACTAGGTGTCACCTTTGTGTGTAAGAAATTAAATTATCCCTGGTACATAAGGGTTACCGCAAGGCAAGTAAGAGTTC